CGGAGTCCCCGGCTGGTAGTGGTTAAGCTTAGAATTTTGAAGCTTTTAACTGGGAATTTGCTGTCTTGAACTCTTTACCCCTTGTGCACACAAGTCTGTTATGTCCAAGGTTCAGTAACTGGGGGCATTGGCACAGCAACAAGATGGCGGACGGGCAAAGATGGTAGTCAGTGACTAGACAGCAGCATCAAAGTCACACTGATGGCAAAACACAAGTAAGCAATTTCCTGTTGATTGTGCACAGGGCGACAGTGTGTGCTTCATGCAGAAATGTATGCAAGTTCAGTGTACCCTAATTCAACGGATGAGACTGTACATGGAGCCAGGAACAAGCTTTCCACCCAAGGCCTTTCAGAGTGGACAATGAAAGCCAGGAACAAGCTTTCCACCCAAGGCCTTTCAGAGTGGACAATGAAAGCCAGGAACAAGCTTTCCACCCAAGGCCTTTCAGAGTGGACAATGAAAGACTTTAGAGACAATAGACTGATTGCGCCTGCTAAGTCACGTGACCTATAGTGGGTATTAAATATCAACAAACGCGGCGTCCACCAAAAGCAAAGTGTTTCATAAGTATCATGTACCAAAAATAAAGCCAACGGTAGGTACCCAGTGTTGTAGTCGAGTACTTTTTTTCCGAGTACCAAGTACTGCCTAGTACTTTGACTGCCGAGTGCAAAGACACATCGAGTACTTTGCCAGCCGAGTACAAGTACTGGTTTCCGAGTACAAGTACTTGCACTTCTGAGTATGAGTACAAGTACTTCTAATTCCGAGTACGAGTACTTCTAATTCCGAGTATGAGTACAAGTACTTCTAATTCAAAAGTAGTTTCATCTTAATTTAGAGACTCTAAGACCTGCCACTGTGTAAAAGAAACACCGAATGCAGATGACATGGCTACAAGAACAAGTGATCTGGCTAGCAATGTTACGGTCACTACACGTGCGTGGCAGCAGTTGTCACAACGTGCACGGTGCGGCGAAGTCTATTTTCCAGACTCAATTATTCACATGCCCGTGATTTTCTGTATGTTGGGTTCGTCGTTAGAATTTTCGGGTCCAGGAACCAGACTATCAATGCCCAAGTAAATCGCGGGACCATTCCGGAGTACCACAATATAATTTGCGTACGTGATTGGTTAAGTACGCGCACAGACGGTGAATTGGTCGTATATGTTAATGGTAACACCTTCGGCCTTCTCTTTGTCAGACCCGTATTGAATATCGGGCCATTGGGGTTGATATTTTTGTACCTCATTTTAACGGCTGTGGTATCGAGTATGAGTACTTTGATGCTCGAGTACAATTTTTGGATGTTGAGTTCCGAGTATTTTGTAGCCCGAGTACAAGAACTGTCATTTGAGTATGAGTACTTGGACGTCCAAGTACAAGTACTCTGAAAATGGTACTTGAGTAGTACTCCATACGAGTACTGAGTACAAGTACTACAACTCTGTAGGTACCATACTTGGACTACTGATGTGCTGGGTACTATACCATATTTTGGCTGTATTGTTCGTAAACAACACTCAAAACACACGTTGATATGGGGTCGATGTCCACTATACAGACCTCCCAACATTGGCTATATATGAAGAATTTGGAATCCAACCCAAAATTTGAAATTTTTCATGAAAAATCAGAATATTCTCTGTATTACCATGAACAAGTAAAAATCAGTGCAGCATTATACAAGAGTCAAATCCATGTCCGTGATGATGTACAGAACCATACATACTCACTGATTCCATAAAAGTTTGATTTTCACAAGAGTTTAATTATTTTCTCCGAATGTGTTGAGTCACCACAAAATTCAGCGAAAAAATCACCTTGTGGTACTTGCACACTTGACACGATCGTGGTCGATTTCACAGCAGTGCTTAGTCTTGGATCCAAACATTCTTAGTCGTGGTTCCAAGTAAAACCGGGCACCACACGACACAAACAATGTAGCTCGTTGAGAGGGCATTTTCGTCCATCTCATTTCAATTTGGCAGAAAGTTTAGGGGCGAAATAGGAATGGCGGAAACAAAGTGAAAAAGTGGAAATTCTCCGACAAAGTCGGGAAGGTTGGGAGGTCTGCACTATAAGTCATGTGAATTAGCAGGTGCAATCGTTCTGGTGGCTATGAATATTGTGGACTTTTTCTATTATGTACTGCCAGTTTAAAGCTCAGTTTCACTAACACCATTGTCTTTGCTGTCACCAGGCAGCACACTAGGAGATAGAAGTCCTTATTTTTTGTGTTCATGGTAATTCTTAAGATATTTGCACGAATTGAATTGCACCTTCCTGGTATTTATGTGAAACTTGAATTTCATTGGCAAAGACATGTTTTCGAATTCCCTCACATTTTTTAAGTCTGTAAATATTTGGTTCTCTTTGTAGAAAGGCTACAAATTGTATATATTGTGTACAAAAAAATGACTTACATGATGTTAGACTTAAAAGAGTGTGCATGGTCAGTCGATTAGATTTGGGAGTTCTCCAAAAAAACTGATTGTTAAACTGTAATTGATATCAGTAGATTGTATTCAAGTTTCAAAAAGTGACCAGAAGCAGTTGAGTTATTCCCTTTGTCAAGACTTTACTTTATTATCAGCCTTCTTTGAATAATAAACAATTCTCTGCAAATTATTTTACATACATGTATATACAATATAACACTGGTGAATGGCTTGATTCTCTTCATACAGAAAACCCCAAAATACTCATACAAATTTTGGAATATTTAAAAATTCAACAGCAGTATTTAGAAACAGGTGTACCCCTGTTTGGTTAAAGGGGAAATAAAATTATCATCAGCTCGGAAGGAGAGGAAAAGGTTAAGAAAGACTAAAGGTACCTTTGATTGGTGGGTTTTTTAGTGCATATCAACTCTGCATGCCAAATCTATGGTGGGTATGTATTGAAAATCAAATGTTCCTGCATGACTGTTTTGGACCAAGTTATACAAGCAATGCATTGTTACTGGATAAACATCAAGGGCGTAAAATGAAGTAAAAACGTGAACATGTTAAATTTTATCATGTCAACTTGATAACGGCCAATGACAGTCAAAAGCACAAGGCATTTTTTTAATTCATTTACACATGGCAGGAAGGTTTCCAAATCTCAGCGTAAATGCCATACGTGGCCTGAATTAAGCCACCTTTTAGCCTCAGTTAAGACCTTCTTAAGACATTCTCTTGCACAGAAATGCCAAACTTTCTGCTCTGAAGCCACAGTTTGGAGTATTGTCATTTAGTGGCTGATTGACAGAAGTTTGAAAAATGATCCCGGGGATGTCAAACCCCAGTCAGCCGAGATTTAAAAAAATGACTGAAGCCACGCAAAGAAAAATCATAAGAGAAGAAAAGAATCCATCTCTAGCAGGATCCGAGTCTGGTGTCTGGGCAGGCTGTAGAGGAGGATGCAGACATCAGCACTGAGGTCCTACATGTAGGTGTAGACCTGGTCCTGTTGTAACAAGGCCTCTTCCACTGCCAGCGCTGCACCTGTACTGACTTCATCTTGGTCTCTCTGTGAGTGGGCAAACATAGGTACAAATGGTGTTTGAGGTGTAAGAGATGGCAGCGTATCCACAAGGGGAGGTGAGGGGAACAGAGAGGCAAGTTTCCCCTTCTGCAGACCTGTTAAAACCACCAGCATTTTAAAAATGGTACTACCAACTGATTTTTTGAGGAAGGAGCTTGAGGATTTTTATACAGGTGAAAAAAATTTGAGAATCATTCATGGGGAAAAAATTCCATTTTGCTCCCTCTAAGTCCCGGATATGCCACTAGCAAGAGATTTTTTTATCCTGTTACTTGAAAGGAACATGTAACTTCAAGAACATGAGTTGTAAGAATGTGGATTTGAGATTCCTTGAGCTGCAATGAATTCTGGAGTGACGGATGTAAAAATCTTTGGTACACCACATGTAGCATTCTGATTTATTTTCCAACAACGAAAACACAAATATTGAAATATTGGTTATGTGTTGATCTTGATGCTTTAAAGTTATGCGACTTCAAATGTAGCCACATGACTAGAATGCCCTAAGATGATGTTCAGAATCTTACCAGTAACTCCAAGACTAACAGGTCGCTCAATCGTTTCACCTCCTTTGGCTGGGCCATCAATGAATCTTCACGTCTGAGTTGAGGGGAAAAATTGATAAAGGAAATGGTGCAGTGAATACAATAGAGAAACTTTACCTAAGCTGTTATATGTACTCCCATGCCTGCATTGATGTGAAACGCACTGTGGTAGGCCATCATCAAGAACATTCAAAACCACTGGGTGCAACAACGGCATAATGTGTGTTGAGTATAAGTTTTTCAAGATATCAGCCAAGGTTCTCTTTAAATACTGGCATAAAATCACTGAGAAAGACAGACCAGAGCTGGTTCCTTATTCCCATGACCTAGTAGACCTCACCTTGGGGTACACAATTCCCCGGCACAAAGTCACATAATCTTGTCATTTTTGTATCATCAAGAAGTACAACATAAAAATAAAACATGTAGACCTTGAATACAAAAGCATTTCATTATATCTTGCTCTTGTAAGAAATGTGCAAAACCTCTACTAGTTTTGATTTGTTAATTCTGCAGCAAGAATTTCTGACCTCATGTGCTCCTGCAGCTGCTGCTTCTGTCTCTTCAGGAACTGTGCGTGGGTTTTCAGTCCGTCATCGTGCATCAGTTTGTAGTTCTCATCTGCTTGCCTGATTGAATGGAAGGTGTCTTGGATCAACTGCTTGTAGGTTGGGGCGTCCATTGTGCAGCGGTGGTTAAGTCCAAACAATGTGAAGTGCGACAATGGTATGAAGTTCCGCTCTGTGAAATTTGCAACACTTTAAACTCTTCTCAAGTCTCTCCTGTTTTCCTTTCCAAAATTTATGACATCTATTGGAAAGACTGGAAATAAGCCTATATCACTTGGCTTTCGTTGCTGTGCTACATATGAAGTCCAGGCTGCGGCTAGCAATAACCAGAGCCATGTACAGAGAGAGAGTACCACTCAACCTCAGACTTGAGAACCAAAATGGCTGTTCACAGCGTGCCATTTTGTTTGCACAACTGTCTATATACTGCTCTGGCAATGACATGTGCTTCTATGGAAGTCAATGGCTAGCGGCCGTAGCCATTTGCCATAGACACTTGAGTTACTGCTTGCCACAGCCAAGACATTGGGACAAAGTCTTATCCAAATCCAGCCCAACTTGGAACCCACTGATTCTCAAATGTGAACGGATGAAAAGTGCATGCATCGAAAGGATATGGAGGTAGTTTCCTGATCTCGGTTCTCCTGAGGAGGTTGTCGATACCGGCCTTCTGGTCCAGTCCCTTCTGCCTGAGGAAGTGTAAGACCAATGGACTCTGACCATTGCTGTTGAAGATGACCTTGGCGAATGTGGCTCCTTCACCGACAGGGTGGGACTGTCAATCCAGAATACAACAAAAACGTGAAATTGGCATCCACTGATTTGATGGGCAAAGAATTTTAAGATGGTTGGGTTTGGATCCTCTCTGATGTTTCTGAGTTTCTGTGCGGGGCTCACCATTGTGGAAGATATGCTCTACTCTGCCAACAGGAGACAGGGGGATGACTGTAATGAGGTGTGGTTATTGTTTAAGAAAGGCAAGTGGTTAAGGCCCGAGGTGAAGGATGCAACATTGCGTCCCCTGGTTTGTTTCAGAACTCAAACGACTGGTAAAAGAGATAAGTTGCACAGTGTAACCATACAATTACTCTTTTTGGTTGCAGCACTGCACCAACCTATAACGTTCCCATAGCTATAATTGAAACTCCTTTGGTGATTGGAATGCACCTTCAGTTGTTTAAAAGTGACTTGTACTAACCTCTTCTGCCTGTCCGTTGCTCCGTAGCCTGGTTACAGACTGTGTTGTTGACTTGGATGCATGTGTCTCCAGCGCGTGTCTGCTACCGCTGTCACGAGGCCTTAACTTTCCCCCGTTGTTCTTGGAGAGGACATCACTTCTCGGATCGTTCCGTCCTCTGTGGCTCTTTCGCGCTCTTGTCTTACCTGTTTGACACTCGCTGCCATCTGGGACTTCGGAAGTGTCCTCGCTGATTGGAAGTAGCCCACCTGTCTTCACACCTCCCTTTGCTGCCTCTGTGTGGCCAGGGCCAGGTAGTTGGTGGACAGCAGGCCCCCTGGCACCCCCTCGGAGAGGCAGGGGGGCGTGTTGCGCCCGCGCCACCGTTGATATGGACATGAAGTCCGAGTCCTGGGGCATTAAGCCTGTGGCGGCAGTCGAGACTGAGGACTCGCTGGGTGTTTGGGAATGTTTGGTTTTACCTGAGAGATTGTGAAGGGGTTGAGGATGGACAGCTGCTGGATCGACAGGTTTACTAGGATTGGAATGACTGCTATCCTCTGGAGTCAACATGTCAAAGTTGAAAAGACCACCTATGATTTAACAGAAAATTACAAAAATATTAAAATTCATTGCAAAAACGATCAAGGAACAAAATATCTGTTTAGGAATATTTCTCAAGAAAAAGTCAAGGGCAAGATTAACATTAAGGTGCAGGACGGAAAAGGTGAAAGTAGGAGCCCTTAGTTCAAAGATTTTTCTGACCTTTCTTATTGTCTGCTTTCATGAACTCCTCTCTTTTCATGTTTGGTGGCTCCAGAGCTGGGTAGTTCCACCTCAGCCATGTTCGTGGTGCTGGCCTGGTCCCCACCACCCACTGGGAGGTCAAACAGCAAAGGTCGCTTCTGAAGTCAGCGTCAAACTGCCGCCAGGAGTTTGGGAAGGCCGCGCAGAAGGCGCTGTAAATTGCCTGGGCTAGGATGTCACTGTAATCCTGAAGGGAAAACGGAAGCAAAACGGAAGACCTTATCAAACTTCCATTCCACACCAATTATTGATAAAAAATAGAAAATAGTTCGCGGTACGCTGCTTTA